TCTCTCCTCTCTTTCCTCCTCCTCTGCTGTCGAACTGCAGCGGCTGCTCAGCCAGTGGCTTTTAAACTCTTGGGTTGTGACATGCTCAGTCACAGCAAGGGATCAGGGAGACAAAACTAATTAAAAGGACAAGCGACAGCAAAGACGTGACACTGCGTGCGTCATTCATGGGTTTTTTTCAAATCGCCAAGGCCAATAAGCCTCATACAGTCGGGGAACAGCTTTTGTCGCTGGCTTTGAGCAAATGCTGTGAAAGGGGAGGGAAAAAATAAAAGCTTCACCACCAGATGCAAATGGAGGCAACAGATTTAAGATATGTGAGAAAAAAAGGAGGAAAAAAAGTCAAGGGTAGCCGTGTGTTTGTGCTCCAATCTAACCTACTTAGTCAACCTTAGACTACAACAGCTGTTTCCACAATCATCGCAGGGGCCAGTTGTCTATCGAGTCTGAAATTAAAGAAGGTTTTAAAAGTCTTCATTTTAGCTTCATTAAAACCTGCTGTGATGAGGTCAACTTCCCGGCTGACTTCCTACCTCCTAATATTCATTCATTCATTCGTTTCTTATGTAAAATGTTCAGCCACTGGAATTACCTGACTGTCATATGGTAATTAACATATTGCTGATTCACTTATATTAGTGGTTTGTTTTCCTGCCGACCTGCTTTTTACACTCAGTGTCTCAGTGTCAGCCGTCAGACTGTGGATATCAATTGGCAGCATCACGTTGAATGCTTCTCAGTAATGTTATTAATTAACTAATTGATGTTTTGGTTTGAGATGGAAGCAGTCACTCATGATTTGAAATTATGGAAGGACCTTTGAGCCATTACTCCTGCAACACAAATCTGTGTCTCAGCCAGTGTGGGTTGTAAATTGTAATTCCCATCCGGCCATTTTTCTGTTTACTAATTAAAATCATCATGAAAGGCTGGACAGCATTACGCACACGCTGGTAAGGGATGTACACACATTATGTGGATCTGCTAATGCCATTTGTTTTGTTTTTTTTAACACATTTTAAAGCAAGACTGTGTAACGTTTGTTGAGCAGCAGCAAACAGCAGCCTCTGCAGCCATAAGTGGTAATTACAGGACGCTGGAGCTTTAAATTCTGTTGAGCTCTGAGTCCGAGTGGTTAAAGGTAGTGAAAGCCAACCCAAGTTACACGGTGCAAGAACAGGAAGTTGGGGGGGGGGGGGGGGCTCAGTGTGAATGAAAGAGGTGTCATTCTCCTTGTTATAAGTCAGTGTACCATCAAAATGATTTTGAGGCTCTTATTTGCATAATGTTGCTTTAAATGTCACATCGCATAAAGTGCACCGCGAGTAACAGAGCACTTTACTGCAGTGCGACTGGTGCAACAGAAATGATCTTGAAAACACTGTGAAGTCTGACATTGAGCATTCACCTCAGTTCTTTTACAACCTCAGAAATCTCAACCAGTGTGAGAAACGCTCAAGAATGCAAAAAAGGAAAGTGCTGTGCAAGGAGAAAGGGGGCTTTATGCTTGTGGAGGAAAAAAAACATTTATTTCTTTCATATATCATGTTGTGTTGAAATGATACCATTGCTTTCCAGTGTTTAAAATGCCCTGCTGCTTTCATCAGCCTCATCCTGAAGGGTCTGCACTACGTTGAGGCTGAAGTCAGCATCAATGAGCTGGGACACAAACAAGATCACAGAAACTTACCATGCCACTGTACAGTTAAAACTATGGTTGTTTTTAATGGTTTGTATTATCTTTTATCTGATGCTTTCCAGTGCTCAGATTGAACACTTAACAGATATGCATAACCATTCAAACCTTTTATACAGTTTATACCTTTTAAAGCAGTTTAAAGTATAAAAAAATGACACATTACCTGATCATTTTTCATGGCTTCCCTAATGCACTTCTAAATTTTCCACCTATAGGCTTCTCCCCGGGACCAAAGCAAATGCCAAACCCTGCTTACATGAACAGACCATTTCTGATTCAGACTTATCAAATGACAATTTTACAAGACGGAGCTTCATCGTTCTGTTTGCACTCCCTCACTGGTTCAAAGTCAGTGTAACTCGACCGCAGCAGAGAGGTCGAGTTACTGATCAAATACAGTCCTGTCAGATTAGGCAAACAAAACATTTCACATTTTCACACAGTTTGAACCGTTGCTTATACAGTAGATTCTCACGTGTGTCGCATTAATAAACACAAAGTGGGAAACTGATGCGGGTGTAATATTCAAAGGGTCTCAAATGAAGATTTTAAAACTCTGTGTTCTAATGTCAGATCTTTCATATGATATTTTGACATGTATAAGTAGTATAACATCTCACGATTAAAAATTTGTTTGTTTGCTTGCTGAAAAAAGTGGGTGTGGCTTTACTGCAGTCCACTTTGGGTAATGTTGATTAGTTTATGGATGCATTTGGGTGGAGTCAGATGACAGTACATCACACATCTAGCCATCCCAGAAAAAGTTCTGTCCATTGGAATGGACTTGGGATGTGAAAAGTGATCCGGGACGTTCAGCAGCATCTCAGGGAAAATCTAGAAAACGAACCCTCACTTAAGATTATTTTGTCAAACCAGTTATTTGTGGTGAGTCTTCCTGGTCACATGGAGGGCACTGTTTCCTCTTTGTTAAAGCTGGTCTACTTTGCTAATCACTTGACTAAACAGAGACTTGTTTAGTTTACGTCTTGAAACTCCAGTGGGTGGGTGGGATGTTTTCTCTCCAGAACAGAGGACAGGATGGAAAGGGATTTTTGAAAGCCAGCAGGTTCAGTAGCTGGCCAAACAACAGCTGAGTCATTGGTATTGATCCATTACCCTTTCAACTCTCACAGATTTATTATCATCATTCTGTGCCATCCAGCAGTAAAGATCTAACTTACTGCTTCCTTAAAAACAGTGACCTCATCCTTTTTTCTTTCTTTCTTTTCTTTTTTTTTTTTTTACTTTAAATGCTGCCACCAAAATATGGGAGCTGCACTGGCTCAAATTGAAAATCACTAACCTTGAATATAGGATTTAACTCACTCATTTATTTTTCATACAGTATAAATATTTCATTAGATTTCATACACGCCACCCTCTGACTTCCACCACGAGTCTTTGCTTATTTCTCCAGTTGAATAAAAGAGTTTAACATTTAACTGACATGAGTTTCACACAAGACACAGAAAATACACATTTTCTTTTATTCTCATAGTCCAACTTACAATTTCACCCTGTTCATAAAACCACCTGAACACCGCCTGCTCTAAAACACACATTTACATAGTCCCCAACTGTTCTAACTACATATTTCTTATGATTTGTCAGGTTCTGTTTTGTATTGTTATCAATGGATCATACCAAATATGTGTATTTCTCAGGAATTCTAATTTGCAATCCCCCAGATTTGCAATCTGCATACATGTACACATATGTGGTTTACTTCAAATGCATTTGGATTTATGGAGAATTTGACAGATTTAACAAGGAAAATAACAGTTGAAACTGAGTTGTTATTGTTAATGTTGTTGTTGTTGTTGTTGTTATCACACAGGTCTATCTACCACTCTACAGAAATTCAGTGGAAAAGGGTTAGCTTATGTTAAGTGCACTTCTGACCTGCCGGTTTCTGCTGATCACTTTAATTGTTTTATCAGCTGTTGTGGGAGCAGCACCAGGTTATGATGACACTGTAGATTTCAGTGTTGTATTTCTGGCTTGTCAGGCTTTAAGGGAAACCGGTCCTTTAATGCAAATATTTAAAAACTATAGTACAGCAATAACATTACCCCTTAAAAAATAAAAAAGGTAGTGTTACTTCATGTCAGAACACTAACAACAGCATAAATATGTAAAAGATTATTACTACAGAAGACAAAAAAAAGAAAAGGACTGATATGGATAATTTATTAATTTGATAATAAATACATATTTGTGTACAAAGTAAAAATCTCCAGGCTTACGTCCATCCCTGTAAGTGTGAATGTCCTGCTGTAGGCTGTCGTGATTCATAAACGTCTGGCAATGTACAGTAATTATTCATGACAAGTAACACCTACTATGTGTGGGTGGGAGCAAATCGAGTCATATTGACATGTTTGAGCATGCAGGCTGTCTGATTTCTCACACTGGGGATCTGTATAGTCTGTTTACATCATTTAGTTATTTTCCACACGGTCGATGAGGGTTTTCATGGTGAAATGTCTGTTTTTTGTTGTTGTTGTTGTTGTTTTGTTTTTGTTTTTTTGCAAATGGAGGCTCCGTTAAATGGTCCTCCAGGCGACTTAACATGTTGTATGCTGTAATAGACTGACTGTAGTTTACTGGCAGTAGTATAACACTGTGGTGCTGTGTAAAGACCACCAGAGGATTATACCGGAATCTAGGTGATTTTTCCTTCAAAATAAAGTTTACTTCCAGGAATATTAAAGATAAAAAAGTGTTTGTTTTTTTTGTTTTTTTTAATTAAATTCAATAGAGTCTTATAAAACAAAATAATCAAAAATATCTCAAAACTAAAAGTCAGATATAAATGTAGCTGGTTGTTGTTGTTGATGTTATTGATTTTTTCCATTTTATTAAAAATACTCATTATCATTAATGGGGGGCAAAAACCGACAAGGAAACAAATACTTTGTGTTTTTTGTTATATCTGAGTATTTAAATTGTACTTATTATATCATTATATTATTTATCTTTTTTGGTGAGTATTTGGTACTATAATTATATTAATATATTAATACATATCAATATTTGGTACTGTCATTTTGGAGTTTTTTTTTTTTTTAAGGAATATCTTATCTGATCTTATCTTATCTTATCTGATCTTATCTGATCTTATCTTATCGCGGCTAGCTATACGCTTCAGTTTTCGCTAGCTTCTCGTTTACACTTGCATTACTCCCACGCAGTTCGTTACTAAAGGACATTATTTTGAAAACCACGAACGGAAGTAAGGTCTGCGGTATCACCTCGTACTTGAGCAGTGTGTGTGTGTTTTTTTTTTTTTTTTTTTTTTTTTGCCTCTACCTTGCCGAAGAAGTGACAGGCTTACAGGAGGAGGGAGGAGAAGTTTTTCTCAGCTTCGCCTTCTCCCCTTCATCATGGAGGCTCGGGCACATTTCTCACGGGAGGAAATCAACAGCACGGTGTGGGAAGTAGCTGAGAAATACACACGGCTCAAACAGATAGGGACCGGGGCGTACGGCTCGGTGTGGTGAGTGATTTACCATTTACTGTGCATGTACGCTGCATGAAGTGTGTGTGTGTGTGTGTCGTAGTTGGGACTGGACCTTGTGGAAAATACTCAATCTGAGCCCAGCACTCACCAACGATAAGCTACCCTGGCTCCCGGCAGCTTACGGTGGGCCCGGGTTTTATATCCTGTGCTCCTGTGCACCAACACACTGTCAACACTGGTGGCACAGGAGTAACTTATGTAACTAGTTATTACACCTCACACATTATAGCACATCCTCACAGCGTGTGCCATGTGTTACCACGGAGACCATGCACACCTCACAGCACATATATGTTTTAATGTGTGCAGTAACAGAGGAAACGAGGCTCTGTCAGTGTCAGTGTTAAAGATGGCCACTTTGCACTTTCATCTCTACATGCAGTTACATGCAAGGTACAATATGACATGGTGCAAGCCACAGAAATGTTCACATTCAATAACACCTACGCACACAGATTTGAAGAAATATAAATTTTACTCACTCTTTGTAAACATGTATCTACAAGTTGTGTGTGTGTGTGTGTGGGTGTGTGTGTGCGTGCGTGCGTGCGTGCGTGCGTGCCATAATGGGGGGGCAACTTACCTCCCACAGTAACATGTTGCTGTTGTGACATTGACATGTTTATTTAAAGCAAACACAGAAACACAGAACATTGGTCACACCCAACATCGCCCAATATTAGTGATTTACAGGTGCCGCGGTTGTTAACCATCCGGCTATATAAATAAAATCTGTGTGTAACAGTTGCTCCATGTGTCTGTAATTATCACACACTTTGATCTATAATCTTACAAATAAAAAGAAATAAGACTATAAATTCCCCCAGCAGAACGCCACCAACCCAAGAAATCACTAATTAGCCATCAGCTAAAACTAGTTTATATACATGAGAATCAGCCTCAAAAGCAGAATATGTGTGTAATTCAATAGATAAAATAATAATAGATCTAATAATAGAAATACAGGATATAACCTTGCTGCATCGCCCACACTGTGCTCTCATTTCATCACTGTGGTAGACCACATGCACTAAACCAACCTAAATCTAATTAAAATATATATTTTTTGGACTTACATTTATTCTTTGCATGTGTAAGAAATTTTATTATATTTTCATTATCCATACTGTAGCAACAAATTTTGGATAATTTTGTGATCCCATTGTGAAGTTACTGAATGAGATCAGCTCAAGTTTTATTCAGAATAATAGTGTAATATGGCCAGTTTTTGGAGTTACGCAACTCCCACTCTCGCTTTTTTATCCCTTTGAGTTTGTTTATAGATCACTTGTCTGAGTCGACTGACCACTGAAGCACGATAGGTCAAACTTTTATTTGAAATGGTAAAACATCTATCACAGTGGACTCCTGTTGTCAGAGCTGCAGATATTATTTCAAATATCAGATATACTGACTACAGTTACCAGGGTTTTAAGCTTCATAGTTTTGGAGTGACGGTCTGTTGAAGCTTAAGATGTCCGCCTATTAAAAGAAGCACCATCTGAGTAAATGAGATCAAGCGACCATTATCTGGATCGCACATCTTTCATTAGAAGAAGGAAGGAAATAATCAACAGAATTGAAACATATTCACCAGTTTCATTGTTACCGTACTGTAGGTGTGAGATGTACTGTTTTTTATTTCAGATCTTTGTCTGGCATGGAGAAGCTGTTCATGTTCAAATTACTGAACAATCCTACATTAGTGCATCAGTGTTGTCCACGGCGCTGTGCACAAACGATGTGTGTGTGTGATGTGTGTTGGTGGACGCGGCTCCAAATAGCCTAACAAGCCTTTCCTCCCACGATTCGGTGCCCTGCAGATCACTGCAAACATGCACGTCACCAGCTGCCAAACATTTACATGTTGACATTCAATAAACCACAGACCGCCAATCAGTTAGAGAACGAGTCCCTCCACGAGAGAACGTCTTCGCTGTAGCGTATGATTTTAAAACAGAGCCTCTTACTGAAAGCGAAACCCCTCGAAATAGACTGGCCTCAGTCGTTTTCCCACTGCTCTCACTTCAAAAGAGGGGAATCATTATGAAACTAGAAGACACACGTAGACTCAGACTGCACAGCTATTGACCCGTTATTCCATTATGCACCACAGCTCGGCAATAAATGAGAAGACTACAGAGAAAGTGGCCATCAAGAAGCTGCACAGGCCCTTCCAGTCAGAGATCTTTGCTAAGAGGGCCTACAGAGAGCTGCGACTGCTCAAACACATGAAGCACGAAAATGTGAGTAGATCAAAGCCGACATATTCCCCGCTTCTTTTAACAGACTGGAGCTTTTACGTGTGGTTTTGGCCTCATGATGGTAATAATCATTATGCATTATAGATATGATAATATGGTGTAAATACTTCAGCTCCTAACGCCTGCTCCCATGTGTCTGTGTTCGTCACATCTCCCCTTCATTCCAACCAGGTGATAGGACTTCTTGATGTGTTTACACCTGCCTCAAGCCTCAATGACTTCCAAGACTTGTGAGTATTTAGCAAAGCCCTCAGGCAGAGGCAGACAACGCCTATCTGGTGATCTGCGGGTTTAGTATTCACCTGCAGCAATGCCTACAGGTTCTGGTTGCAGAGCCGTTTTGGGGGGGGGGGGGGGGGGGTTAAACAATAGGTGAGTCACCAGAGTGATGAGATAAAAACTGAACTGACCACCGTCATTAAACAGGAAGGGGCCTTATCTAAACTGTTACCAGCTCTGCTGTCTAAAATAACTCCGTATAGCATTTAGAAATATCACCGTAGCATTAAAATGTTCCTGAACTGGAGCTAAAGCGCCCCAAAACTGAAACACTGAGTTACAGCCCCAGAGGTGTCCGCATACTTTTGGCCACACAGTTTACACTCGTGACAAACTACATAAGGATGATTCACTGTATACAGAGACCAAAATCTACCATTCAGTCAAGAATTTAAGGTCTCGATGAGGGAACTCTTAAGATGGAAAAAACGTCCATCATGGAACTCGGCGGTTAGCGAGCAGGGTGACAGTGAACAGAGCACGACGCCTGCCAGGTTTTCGCCGAGGATCGCTCAAAAATTAGTTACAGTTCTCCGTCACGATCTTATCTTATCAGTCTCTTTCCACTCTGTGTTTCAGAAAACCAAGGAACAGTCAGCTTTAGGTTCGGTGGTGAATTTTAATTTAGGCCTTCTGCCACAGCATGACGCACATTATTATTTTTATTTTGCCACGTATAATTAAATAACTATACAATATAACATAGAAAATTATTATTATCATATTTTCTTTAACTGAATTGAATGATTATTCATTGCTGTGACTCAGAGTTTAGGTTGCTCATAAGACGAACACATCAAACTGCAAACTGTGGCTGTTGCAGCAGCACATAAAGAAGAAGAATACTGTATATTAAGAGTTACATAAACAGACACAAGCTCCTTAATAAAAGTATGAAAAGACACGGATTACAGCATTAACAGGGTGTGTAAAATAAGTGGGATAAAAGCCTCTTTTTGTGCTTAGTTGTGATCTTGACTGAATTAATTTGTTATGTCATGTCTGGCCTGTTGAACAGAGGTAATCACTTTACCGTCTCTCTCGCTGTCTTCTTACTCGGCCCCTCTCTAACCTCTCTCTCTCTTTTTCACAGCTACCTGGTGATGCCTTACATGTTTACTGACCTGTCGAAGGTGCGGGGTCATCTCTCAGAAGACAAAGTCCAATTTCTGGTCTACCAGATGCTCTGCGGACTCAGGGTGAGACAGGGATGTTAGAATTTCACCGTGAAGCGTCAGAACGTTTAAAGTCATAAATTAAAAGCTCTACTTTCATTGTGGTAATTATATAACACATGTATGTAATGAGAGGTGCAGCTGAGGGTTCAACCTTTAGCTGAAGACAAAGTCGTAGTGTACAATCATAGCATGTAAGAATTAAAAGTTATTTAAAGAAAGGAAAGAAGCACAGATCAATGCACCTTGTTAAAATATAATAAAATGTTTGCTACTGTCAAAAGTATTTTAAGTATAACTTCACTCAAAACTCACTCAAAGCTCATACTGCAAACAGGCAAACATTGATAAAACCAGCTGTATCAAAAATGAACCATACCATACATTTTAGATATTAATGCAATATAAATGTCTCTCTCTCTCTCCCTCTCTCTCTCTCGCTCTCTGCAGTACATTCACAAGGCCGGAATCATCCACAGGGTAAGTACAAGTCAGTTTATCGTTGTAGAGCTTAGGGGAAAAAACAGCCTTAACTTGGGTCTGTTTTTTTGTTCTATGATAAATTGACCTTCTCAGAGTTTTATTAAGAAACTGTAACGTGTTCAGTTCTTTGTCCCGTACGTTGATTCTGACTCAGATTGCAGACGTGCACTTCTTCCTGTACTTCAGAAGGATTTGCAAATGGTGATTTAATGTCATTGTTATCAACTCAGATTAAACCCTGCCCCGACAGGTAGGATGAGTTCACTCCACTTCTGATGTCTGACTGGCGTGTCTAGAGACGTTAGGCCACACCCATGGGCGCCGGTTGCCAAGACCTATGGGTGTGTGTGTGTGTGTGTGTGTGTGGAACAAGGGAAAGCAGAGTTAGATTAATGCATCACTTACATATCAGATAGATACCGGTTTGTTATCTAAGTGCCTCACAGTGGCACCATTAATACAGAGTCATGGAGCGGGAAAATCGTATTGAAAATCAAACTGAAACTTTGTAGTTGATTCAAGAAAACAGTGATTTAGGCAGGAAATAACTGACACTGACCAATCTGTTATTAGTTATCTCTATCCCTCTATCTTTTTTTTGGGGGGGGGGGGGTGACAAGTCGGCCACTCACAGCACAGTTTGGATGGGGTGCGCCTACTGGGGATGGGGAAGCCTCCTTCCAAAGGTCTGGAGCCTGAACACTGTGGGGGACAGACCTGTATTTCAAACCAAACCAAACACATCCCACCTCCACACCTACCATAACAAAACAAATTTACACCACCCCAGTAGTGCGCACTTCCCCCACCGGTGGATGATAGGTTATGTTATTTTATGTTGTTATGCTATCTTATGCTGTTATATTATTTTATGCTATGTTATGCTATGTTGCTTTCCTACCTTTTTAGCCTCAACATATTTATCAGTTATGCTCGATATTAATTTAGCTGCTAGTGTGTGGGGGGTGTAATAAGTAATTGTTGTTTAAACTGCAGGAAACTCAGTTGTGCACACTCTGACTCAGTCCTCTGTTAAAGTGTTACCCTGTTGTTACTGTAGTAATTCTTAAAGCAGTGAAGGTGTTATCAGCACTCACTAAATACTGATCACACATTGTGTGACAGTATTTTATGAATGACTCTGCAGAAACGACACAGTAAGACTTCCAGTCAGTTTATACTTGAGTCACGCCATTGACTCCCTGTGTATGCATGGAGACAAACAGCTGAGCCATGTCAGGCCGCAGGAACTACAAGCACCGAAAACTCCTCCCGTTCCCGCTTCTGATGCTGCTTCAGTACGAGCGCCATCGTTTTCTGTTTATCACTGTGTGCTGTAAGAAACCATCACTCAGCTCTTTTTCTTCTACAGGATCTTAAGCCAGGAAACTTGGCAGTAAACCAAGACTGTGAACTGAAGGTTTGTACTTCTAAGGATTACACTAGAAAAACATGACCAAACTGAAATGTTGGGGACGCTGCAAATAATAGGATTCAGCAAAAGAATGTGATAAGATTCAGAAAATGTTATAAAATTAGCAATATACAGGAAACAGCGTGTGGATTTACTAATAATTACAGATGCTGCTGTTTTGATTCTCACTTAAATGTGGCTCAGGAAACGTTGATGTAGAAACCTGTGTGTGTAAAATAATGTTATATATCTTAAACAATATATATCAGTAAAAATCAAACACTTTATCAATGATATATTGTTGATATAATGTTCCAGATTGTGATCAGTTTTGTGCCTCTGATGCAGATCCTGGACTTCGGTCTGGCTCGCAGTACTGACGCCGAGATGACGGGCTACGTGGTGACCCGTTGGTACCGGGCACCTGAGGTCATTCTGAACTGGATGCACTACACCCAGACTGGCAAGACAATCGTAGCTGTTTTTTATATTCTAACTAACTGTACCTGCGTCCTCGCTGTGGTCTCGGTTGCTCAGTCGGCCTGACGGTGCTGTAACTGTAACCGTTTGCCGTCTGTCGTGGGAAAACATCCCAACTCCACTTACAGGGATTTCTTTCTTTTAGCTTGTGTGGTACTTTACGGGTCAGCGGTTTTTATTATAATCCTGTTGCTGCGGCATGAAACCCTGTTTGAAGTTGCATGGGTGTCATTCTGACAAATTTTTTTTCCTTTAATCTGTTAGACGTTGACACAGATGGGTCTGACAGCAGCCTGATAGTGCTGAGACTGAATGACAGATCTCACTGACTTTCCCGGGATTCATGTTTCTGTGGGAGGTTTTTTTTTTTTTAATTTGTAAACAGCATCTAGAGGATGGGGTGTAGCAAAGAAAGCAACTCTGGCAAGTTTATACCCTTCACAGGATTGTATTACTCACCAAGTATTCCCAATATAAACAGCACAATAGATTCTGCTTCCTGTTGCGAATAGGAACTTTGCTCTGGCATATAAATGCCACCTTCCTCATTTCTACTCCACTGAGCTGAATTTGAAACACTCTTGATGTGTTTTCTGCTCGGATTCTCACTGATGTGTTTTCTCTTTTCCTGTTTATTCTAGTGGACATCTGGTCTGTGGGCTGTATCATGGCAGAAATGATCAATGGAAAGACTCTTTTCAAAGGAAAAGACTGTATCCTTTCATCCACTATTGAAGCCTGTGTAATTCTAAATAATGAAACAGGTTCTAATGTACAGAAATGGAAATATACTGTAAGTAAGTAATATTTTGTCATCAAATCAATGTAATGATAAATGAGATTGAAAGCCCCTTAAAGAAACAGTGACAGTTTTATTTGATCATAAATCCGGTGCAACACAGAACACAAAAGGCAGTTACAGCATATTACATGCAGTATATCTCTTTTACTCAGCTATTACATGCTTTTTCCTGCATGTTTTACATTTGCTTTTTATGTTCTTTTTTGTGTTGCACCTGACACAGTTGATTCATCGCAAATAAAGCTGTCACTGTTTCATCAGATGGCTTTCATTTTCCTCTGTTATTGTGTTTTATGGATCTGCCTGGAAACCCGTACTTTCCACTGCTTCTCTGTGCACACACGCTTATGAAAGCACCAGAACATCTCAGGTTTTAAAATCCTTGATCGTAACCAACCACCAGACATGGACCAGCTGACTCAGATCATGAAAGTGACTGGAGTACCTGGACCAGAGTTCATACAGAAGCTGGACAGTCCAGAGGTAGGACAAGCTACTGTATGTGTGAGGAGGGCTGTAGAGGGCATGCTGGCAGGGCTGTACTGTTGTTGGCTGTAAGGGAGCACCTGGAGATCAGGGTCTTGCAGGGGGTACACCCCAGAGGGTCAGCCAGCATGTCTGAAATGGAAAAAGATGGAGGTTAAGGTTAATACAAGCACCACTATAATGTGGCTTTTGCCATTTTTATGCCTCTGCACCAGCGACAATAATAATATATTCTCACATCCCCATAATTCACAATCAGATTTCAGAGAGTAATCAATTCTTCTGGTTGATAATGTTCATTTAATCCAAACCGTACCACAAGCTGAACGTTGATGTGTTTCTCTGCCGAGACGCCAAGAGTCCTCTCAGGTGTTTTCCCCTGAAATCAGCGGTGCGCTTATTTAATACTCAGTCTGAAACTGAAACTGAAACTTATTTCCAGATTGTCCGTTTCCGACTTTCTTCCCCCCCTTTCTCCTTAGTCTGAGTTTGAACTCAACAATGACACCACAGCCACAATATTACACTATTATTAACAAGGCTACAGTCTCACTGTACACGTTAGATACAACAACAACAACAAGAGTGCAAAATACAAAAGATTTTGCCTTTCTTAAGCTTCACCAGTTGTACTGTAAAAATATAAAATTTGTCCTGAGGGTGGCACTAGAGGAAAAGTCAGGGCATCAACAAAAACATGCAGGAGGGTGTGTTCAATGAGGGTAAGTGAAGACGTGTAAAATAATGATAGAAATATGGATTTTTATCCACCAGATATCACCAGTAAGAGCTTATCTTAGCAGTAAATCTGTGCACCAAGCTCAACAATCAATCACTGTCTATCTGTCTATTACATCTGAGGCTCATGCGTTGCTTTGTGTGAGCTTCTGTTGATTTCTGCACATAAAAAGCTCCAATATATATTTTTATCTTTGCAAGAGAAGTGCCTGTTCATGTTCTTCCTGTTCTCTCTGTTCAGGCATTTTAATAACCCTGTTTTTTATCCAATTTTTCATCAGCTTTATATAGCTGATAACGAACCCACACTCTGATCCGCTGAAGTACACGGAAAATTATTCCAGTGCATATTTTTACAGAGATTTGATACCAAACACGTCTGCAAAATTGGTTTACGGTGCTGTTTTTGGAGAGAGTCGGTGTAAGATGTTGTTCTGGTTTGCTTTCCAATTTGTTTTTTGTCTCTAAAAACAGGCCAAAACTTATGTGAAGGCCCTTCCACGTTATCCCAGAAAAGACTTCTCAACGTTGTTCACCAGAGCCAGCGCACACGGTGAGTCCAGCCACAGCAGCTGGCCCTCCTGGTCCAGGTTGACACATGGACAGACTCAGCATAATTACAGTCTTCTACTACAGTGGCCCACCAAAGCAGTCCAGGGTCAGGAGTTTGTTGTCATAGTAACAGCAGGTTCCTTTGCTCCTTACTGTCTTTTGAATGATGTGACACTGCCCCTGTACCGTGTTCATGAAAGATTTTCAAATCACTGATCTGAACAATCAGTGTGAGGAGGATCCAGATCAGGAGAAATTCTCTACATGATACATTTTATGTCTCTGGCAGCAGCAGAAAAACTTCTCTTTTTGGAACCGATTTAATTATTGCTACAGGAGAGTTTGCAGCAAATCTGCCACATGGCTAATGTCACATTCACTGACGTCTACAATTTGAGGATTTTTTTTTTTTACGTTCGATCAAATTGTTGCGTTCTTCTGTACCACTGACCGTTTGCAGGTATCGACCTACTGGAGAAGATGCTGGTTCTCGATGGAGACGAGAGGCTCACGGCAGAACTGGCTCTGGAGCACCCGTACTTCGACGGTCTGAGGGACCAGGACGACTTTCGTGAGCCTGAAACGTATGATGACAGCCACGACAACGCCACATTGTCCCTGGATGAGTGGAAGCGTAAGAGCAAAAGAATACACAAACATTGATTAGAAAGAAATTACCATGATGTAATTAGTTACAGATGAGAGTGGCGTTAATATGGATTGGATTTTGCTTTTGTTTTTTCTATGGCGTTATATGAGACAGATATAAACAGAAGTCACATACTTGTGTCTCATAGTGGGAACAGTTTTACAATCATAGACATTTTCTTTTTACCATGTTTTGTTTTGTTTTGTACCAAATTTTGTTGCATGGCTTCTGTTAATGTGGTGATGAATAATTAATGTTAAAACGCCATGCAATTAGTCCTCTTTAAATTATTATAGACATCCTGCACCTGCAGAACACTAATGGTTTCCCCCTTCTGCCCACAGGGTTGTGTTTCAAAGAGGTGAGAGACTTTGTGCCGTTCCCACGGCGGGACTCCAAGAGGAAAAACACCCTGACTATGTCTCAGTGACCTGATGAATGTTGTGCCCCCACCAACATAGAATACAGCCAATGGTGCCCTTGTATACTCTAACCATGGATTCAGTCTGTTTCTTCTAGCCTGGAGATGTTTAGATTTTGAATCAGTGTTCAGAAGAGTGATCATCTTAAAAACTTTTTTTTTTTTTGTAATGTGCAATTATTTCCTAAATTTAAATTGCTTTGTGTGACACACATTCCCTGTCAGTGAGTTGTCTTGCAAATTTATTGTGACCAGATGTCACGGGGTTTACTGTAAGATTTACTGTAAAATTGTTTTCCAATTAAACAATAAGACAAAATATGTATAAAGTTATTTTTTGCATTGAAAATAGCATCTCTCAGGTAAGGGGTTTGGTTGGATCTGGGTTTTTGCCAACAAATGCCCTGAAAACCCCTGACCAGTGAGGGGCCCAAAAGATTAGCAGTTACAATGTAAATGTGCAATATGTTACAGGTGTCTGTTGGGATATGGGACCATGACAGTGTGTATGATGCTCAAAGCAACTAGTCCTTTTAATTTATGTCTGCTTTTATCACCTGTGGGTCCATACTGCACTACTGTAATGCCTGCCATGCTGTATATACCATTTTCACACTTGCACACAAATTTAAGCCCAACCCTTGTGGGTGTTTTCAGTATCTAGCAGCTTTTTAATATGTACTTGGCTGGGCTTGTACGTTATTCAGAGGCCACTTTGTGATGTGTAATATAGAGAGTCAGTGTAAGATGTCATTGGGGGTTAAGGTTATTCTGTTTAATTCATTGCATCATCTATTTGAAAGGGGATCCTGCACAGGACATCTTGAGACTGATAATAACCATGTAATACCTTAAAATGTGATGCTGGTTTGTCACTTCTTTCTTTTTTTTTCTCTGAGTGGGTGAATGTCTGTGCATGTGTGCATATGAACAGAGAATAAACATGAGCATGAGCACCCATGTGTGCACACATGTTTTGTGTACATGGGGGTGACAGGGACAGGTGTCGGGTTTCCAAAGCACCACATCAGAGAAAACGGTCCAGATACAGTTAATGGCGCCGTGTTGTAACTACATATTTAGAATGCATAAAGCTGTTAATAAGATCAATACAGCCTGATCTGCCACTGACCCTGTTAAATAGCTTGCGCGCGAAAATCATGGCCTGGTGACGTCAAGAGGGCGGGCTAGACTTGTATTAATTGCTGTTATCAAGGTAGCCCACAGGCGATACATAAAAGCGGAAGTGAGGCATTTTGCCGTCAAAATAAAAGTTGATAGAATAATGTAAATAAGAATAGCATAACGCACTTTCTCGGCCGTTTTATTATTATTTATTGAGATTGAAAGTTAAGCTTTATCTTAGATTTAGCAAAACCTTATTTTAAAATAATTTCTCCCGGATATCCCATGGAAAGAGAATACAAACTAAATTTAAGCCCATTGCTTGAAAACAAATCTATATGCACTAAAATGTAAACTGGATAGGAAATAGTCAGACAAGATGGGGGAAAATATACAATTTAAGAGCAGTAAAAATATATTTAAAAAGAGAATTTAAAAAAAAGAATATATTAAATGTAGGTGCATAAGTCAATAACAATACACAAATCTGAAAATAAGAAGAGTGTAAGAAAATATTGTCTCTGCAGTTTACCTTGACCACTCTCAATAATGTTGCTCATCCAATTTCTGCCACACTTCACCGTGTGCATTGATAATCCTTTGTCATAATGTCAGAATGGCGCTGAAATACTGTGAAAAAGACATGTTGGCAAGAAAATAAACAAAGATGTTATTAAATTCGGTATCACGTAAAATGTATGTTCTTTGAGTTGAATTAGAGGTGTACGCAGTATACAACACTAATGACTTTATTTTGAAAGGAAAATCCGGAAGTCCTATGCTCTTACTTTGGCTAATATCGATTTAGAACTTACTCTAGGCTCCAAATAGCTAGCCAGCTAGCCGAAGGAGGCTAGTATTTCTCCTTCTCACAAAACTGGGTCGACAATAAGCTGTTTCTCAAATTACTAATGCAGATATACCACTCTTGTTCTCAGCAAATCTTTGGGATTGACTGATTGCGTCCCAAATGCCGTGTTGTGAAGAAACGGATGCGTTTTAAAATAGCGAAATATACCGGCTGTACCAGCAAACTGTAGCTGGCTAACGATAGCTGTTAGCTTCGGGAGTACAGCAAGTTAGGCGGCTGGCTAGGAAACCATTACTGTAGAGGCGGCTTCAGACCGCCGGCTGTCGAGCTACCTGTGTCAGTCAGTTGCCATAATAGGTAAGATGGCTTATGTTTGCTACCTACTGCTTCTATGTTGTTGACTGGTTCAGAACTTTTAACACAGTTTTAACTGGCAGTGATCAACTTGTTTTGCGCCTTGTCAAGGGTAAAAAAAAATAACAAGCCAGCTAACGTTAGTACTGTCAATCTGTTAAGTTAGCAGGCTAGCTAGCTGATATCTTTTACTTGTCTCTGTACTTTTATGTCAGCGTACCGGAATACTGTCAAAATAATGTGCATTTTTCATGCCGAATTTACAAGATGATGCACCGCTTCAAAATTATAAAATTATTATAAAGATTTAAACTGTAGAAGAGCTTTTAACAGTGTTTTAAAACTGTAAATATGGCTGACATTTTACTCTCGAAATAAGGGCACTGATCTGTTGAGACCGTTGTATTCCTGAAGCTGATTGGCTCCGGAGTGGATCAGTCATGATTTCCTGACAGCTGATTGGATGTGTCCGTTGTGTTGTGGCTAGTGATAGTAGTTGCCAACAGTTAATGAGATAAAGTCGAGAATAATCTACAGACAATTTTTCTCTGTGTTTAGACATTGAAGAGTAACCGTCAGGGCGACAGTTAGTTAGCTGTTAATACGATGCTCTATGCATTTAGTTACCAGCACTGAGTGAGCAAGTGTGCTGTGAGTTGAGGTGTGTGAAGGAATGTTCACGCTGCAGGTGACAGTCCTGCCTAATAACACTGTGTAGTAACATACAACGCATGACAGATGTGTTTTGAATGACTTAATATGTCAAGAAGTTCAAAGCAAGTTTAGCGTCGTTGTTGTTTGGCCTTGTTACAACAATGGCATTAATTTGCTTTAGTTCTTGATCAAAAGAGGGAATTAATCGGCAGAGAATAAATGTAGATAGATAGAAATGACAATTTAATATATATTTTTTGTTTAAAAATGGCGTGCGCTAGTTTTGCATGAATACAACAGAATACCAGTCCGTGTAAACTTACCTGCAAATGTCACTTCAGTCCGGTTAGATGCTGCTGTGATGTTTACTCTTCAGTGCTGCTAACAACACACTGTCTGTCCATGACATGTAGGCTACAGTCAAGTTTGTTTGCTTAGTCTCTGTTGCCCACTCATAGCACCAACAATGGCAGCCCGCCAGCTGCAGTCAATCAAATACAGATACTCTCACCCCTGCAGCCAGTTGAGAGGAAAGGAACATTTCTGATATTTCTCCAAAGGTCTATTTTCTTCCCTTTTTAAATTATAAGAACTATTAACAATATATTTAAAAAATAACTTGGCATTTTGGACTACAAAAAGGGATAACTGAATGTGATTTCAGTGGGACTTTAAATGGTGAAATAATGGCAGAACATTTTCAAATTTTGCTGTATCATCATCAAATGGTTTTTGCTGTGCAATATACAAAATATATTAACTATTATTTCCAGTCTGACACCACAGAGTTCTCATATTATATTTGTTTTCTCTTTAATCACTAGGAGGGAAATTGTGATCAGTGGCCTATGAGGAAGCCACGTCGAAAAGGCCAGGCGGCCGGAGGGGGAGGAGGAGGAGGAGGTGGGGGTGGGGGTGAAGTCAAAAAGTCCAATGGGACAGCTGCCGGGCGTGGGGGTGCCCGCCAGCGATCTCCCTCGCCTTACAGCCTCAAAGCATCTCCAAGCAGAGAAACCCTGACCTATGCCCAGGCCCAGAAGGTGGTGGAGGTGGAACTCGATGGTAGGCTTCACCGCATTTCTATTCTGGATCCCCTGGAGGTCATTACTGAAGATGAGATGATGGCTCAGGACATTAGTGAGTGTAACAGCAACAAGGAGAACAGTGAGCAGTCCTCATCTCCCACCAGCAGCGCCCAAACAGCCCGCAAACCAGTCACGCCCCGAGGCCGCAGGAAAGACTCTAAATGTTCCTCTGTCAAGGCACCGCCACCTTCCAAGAACCACTGCCCCAATTCTCAGCTACAAACACCTGAAAAGGTACACACAACACACCATCATCACATGACCCTCCCTGAGCCTAAGTTTCGTGTGCTAGAAACCTTCACGCCAGTCGAGGCTCCTCCACTGCCTACAGCATATTACCGTTACATTGAACGTTCAGCTGAGGAGCAGGAAGGTGAGGCAGAATACGACATGGACGAAGAGGACACCGCCTGGCTGGAGATGGTCAACTCTGGCCGCACGTCAGACGGTTACTCCGCTGTCTCACCGGACACCTTTGAGCTGCTGGTGGACCGACTGGAGGAGGAAGCGTACCGGGAAGCCCGCAGCCGGGCGCCCTCTCAGACCACTGTTGACGATGATGCCTTCTGCTGCGTGTGCCTGGATGATGAGTGCCTCAACAGCAACGTCATCCTCTTCTGTGACTCCTGCAACCTGGCTGTGCACCAGGAGTGTTATGGAGTGCCCTATATCCCTGAGGGCCAGTGGCTGTGCCGCTGCTGCCTCCAGTCCCCTCAGAAACCTGTTGACTGTGTTCTATGTCCAAACCGTGGCGGCGCTTTCAAACAAACGAGTGACGGCCGCTGGGCACATGTGGTCTGTGCCATCTGGATTCCTGAAGTCTGCTTTGCCAACACAGTGTTTCTGGAACCAGTAGAAGGGGTCAATAACATTCCCACAGCACGCTGGAAACTGACCTGCTACCTGTGCAAGCAGAAGGGCCGCGGCGCATCTATTCAGTGCCACAAGGCCAACTGTTACACTGCGTTTCACGTCACATGTGCTCAGCGCGCTGGCCTCTTTATGAAGATCGATCCAGTGCGCGAGACAAACGTCAACGGGACCATGTTCTCCGTTAAGAAGACGGCGTTCTGCGAGGCCCATTCACCACCGGGACAAGAAACCGTATCAGATGAGGAGAGTGAAGGAAGAGTGGTGGGCAGCAGAGGGAGGGCTAGCAGAGGACGGAGTGCCTACACAGAGGGACCGACTACACCAAAAAAAGGCAGGAAATCTGATGATGATGGCAAAACGGATAAAAAGAAAGGGAAGAAGGGCACAGAGTCAACAGCTCAACAAACTGCTTCACCACAAGTGATAGTGCCTCAGATCCCCACGAGCAGGTCAGATTTTCTTTTCTTTGTTTTATGTTGTTGTTCATCAAAAGTTTAATATGACCAAGATGGTTTTCATCAGATATGAGTCATGTTGACGATACAACCCACCTGCATCTACCTCTGTTGTACAGGCTGAATATCATCTGCAAAGGAATCATCTTCCAGAGGAAAAACCAGTTCATGCAGAGGCTGCATAACTTCTGGTTACTGAAGCGTCAGTCGAGGAACGGCGTGCCGCTGGTTCGGCGTTTGCACTCTAACATCCAATCCCAAAGGAATACGGAACAGGTCAGGGCAGGAAACAACTGCAGCCTTGGCACTCCAATGATTACATTTTTGTGATGTTTTCAGCATTATTTATTAGGCCACTGTCTCACCAAAGTTAACTGATTGCCTTCAGATACACTTCTGGTACAGTATTTAACCCTCAAAATGTTTTCTTATACATTGTAGCCTGAGGTGGACGAGAAGGTTTCTGCGGCAAGAGAGGCACTGAGATATTGGCAGAAGCTTCGGCACGACCTTGAAAAAGCCAGGCTGTTGGTGGAGCTCATCCGCAAGAGGGAGAAACTCAAGCGAGAACAGGTGTGGCATGGAGACTAA